AGCGCAGCAGTAGCAATGAGAAGCCACAGAGCTTGTTCCAAGGATTTGCCTTTGTTTTTCTAACACTGCGTTGCGCCGGTATCTTTCCACTTCAGTATCAATATTTTGATCAAATAAATGGTTTCCTGGGCAAATTCCGACCCTTTAATACTTAATGCATCTACTGGTTGCGGCTTGAGAGCACTTATTACTTCCACTTAGGCAATAAAAACCTCTCATTTTCTGACCAGCAGGATGCGCGACTAGTAGACTTTGACAAAAACAATATTCGCAATGTCTAGGTTATTTCCGTTGCTGAAAGGTTTAAAATCGGTGTCCCTTTAATAGTATGTCAGTGCCTGAAAACTTCGATGGAATCCATCCTTGTAAGTTTCAATCGAAAGCCTTGTCCGATGTGTACAATTTCGTCTGTGTCATTCTCAAAAATAATTTGTCCGAAACCGGTGCCGTGGAAGCGAGAGTCTCTACCAGCGTCCTTGCTTTGTTGAGTGTTTGGATTAGCTGACGAGGAGGAGGCTATTACGATTCAGAGATATAAAAGCATTTGCTTTCGCCAGCTCTTGTCGTACCTGTCGGTTACCAAAGCTAAACCACTTTTAGAGACGTTAGAAACATGCGGTTGTTTGAAATTATCACTATTACATTCATTGTACCGCATTTGTTGAGGTTTAATAGAAAGCACCGTCGGAAGTTATTAAATCGCTGACAAGTGAGCACCTCATCTCTGAGAAGCGGGGCATCAAAATATAGGTTCGTTCAAGCAATGCACCGGCAATGTCTATTAGAGTTGATAATTCCCTTAATGAACAAGTTGTCTGAAGATTTAGGTAAGGCGAAATACGGATTTTGGAGACGAGTGAATCAAGAATCAAATAATATCTAAGTAGTGTGAAGTTTTGTTAGATGTTGCGTTAGCCTACTCAGATGTTCCTGGTGGAGGTCTCAGCGCTTTTTCATGTTGCTAGTAAAACAGCCCAGTACGTTTGCGTAGTCTCTGTGCGTTAGTCTGCAAATTCCACCCCGTTTGACATTACAAATTCTTTCCAGTTTTCCAGTAACTCTTGTGGGAACTTTTTTTCTCACAATACTCCAAGTCGCCGAAAATGGTTTTCCTCTTTTGATATACACAAAGCTGACCAGTCTAGATTCATTCTGGCATCTCATCTACTAAACGCATCCAATCTGCTTAACCGGCCACACGGAAACATACGAACTGATAAAAGCACACACGCATAGAAGCATAAACAAAGCGTTCAGAAACTTGATTCCTATTCTGACACTTGAAGCACTTCAGAAATCGGACAAATCCCCAGAGAGTTGTGTAGGACAGAGGATTAATAGACAAAATGCGCTACGTCCGTTTTGAACGAGCTCAACTCGTTCGCTAAACCGTAAGCATACCTGCTGTCTGACGTTGCTCTTTTTATGGGGGGGGGTGTTTTGGAAGGATTTAACAGAATAACTGCTAAACAGTCGTTTGAACAGGTTTCATTGAATCAAAAACAAACAGCAGGGAAAATGACGGTGAACCCCCCTCCCCTCACACTCATGACGACAACGAATGTGAGCACCGTCAAACACCAGGATACTGGACCACCTGTCTGCACAACAAGCACCGAATTTCCACTGCACCCCCTGTTTGTCTATGTGTGGGTGTAATACCGTGCGTCGTAGGCAATCAGAACTAAAACACGATACGACCCAATAGTAATCAATCACAACGCTTTAATGTGACAGACAAAATGAAATTTAACATGGATTAATGGGTTGATGGGTTGAGAGTACTAGCCTTTCTCTCGAACTTGTAGGGGAAAAGGGTTTGCCGGTATGCGTGCGAACGTGTGCGTGTGCGTTTGAATAACAGACAGCCTACGATGCATGAAACTTCATTTCCGGCGTTACATTTGACGTTTCTTGTGAAGCAAATCTCTTGGTTAATCAAATAAAATCTGTCTGAGAGTTCACTTTAGTTTTAAGGTGTGACGGGGAGAATGTCCGATAAAACTAAATGAGCCACAAAACAACAACGGTGGTAAACACAATTATGAATTAGATCATATCACAAATGGGGCAACCCTAGACCTGGTCACCCTAATTCAATGGGTCTTCGTTTTCTCCCTAAATTACCAGATAAATAGAGTGACACTAAAGATTCCCAGATCTCTACTCGCCAGGATTTGGCAATATGAACAATATATCACGCTGCGTTATCTAAAGCTGAATATTCCTCCAACCGCAAGCTGTAGGAAAACCGAAATTGTGTTTACGTCAACGCGCGTTCTGTATAGGAAATCTGTCTTCCGCGGGAAGCTCATTTGTCTAAAGTATTTCCAACTCCTTAGTAGTAGTAACTTTATGAATCACAGCGCTCCCACTTTCACTAAGATACAGATAATTATAAACTGAGTTTCAAATATGACATTAGTTGGATTTTGAAATCTTTGGTGAGACTTCCATGGTAATATTGGTTGCTAAAGCGATATCCTTCTCAATGTTTGCCAAGCCAGTTTACTAGGCAGCACTTTTTAACGTCAAACCGCTTTTCGTGAAAGAAGTCAACAGACTTTAATGGCGTTCTTGTACCATCATGGGCAACATAAAGTAAAACGCCAATTGCGCCATCATTGACCAACTTGACAATGGTATAAAATTCGGCTACTGATACGATGGTTATTCCGTACGGACAGAAGGATATCGTAAGAATTTCTAGGTCCCGGTGCAAATCTACCACGTCTCCAGCTGGCTGATTACCTTGAAACCCAATAAAAATTTCATTAATGGTTTGGTTGTACAGCCTTTACGGACTAATATTTCTACGGCAGCAATAAATCAATGTCAACTGTTGAAAATGAATTAGAAGGGCATCAGTTTGGTCCAGGAAACTAAAACATAATTTCATGAAGGAAACTACTCACAAGGTTGCTGGAAACACTTCGACAGCCCACGACCGGTTTCACCCTTCCTGGGGCTCATCAGGTAGGCGCAGTCCCCGAGTTTCCGCCCAGCTTATGTTGCACTTGAAACCAAATTAGACTGCCTTTCAATAAATACACTTAGTTGCAAATCAATATGGTTTTCACTCAGCTGAATCTCTCGTGCTGCATTTTCAGTTGTAGAATATCATAAACGAGAGATTCAGCTGAGTCTCTCGTGAAAACCAAATTGATTTACAAATGAGTGTATTTCTCGTAAAACGTAATTTCTTGCAATTTCGCAGTCGCATATCAACCAAAATGAATTTCTGATTTATTCCGCTCTCAGTAGTTCTAAGGATGTTACTCTCCAACCATGTACTGGTTTATTTCATGGAATGAAACTCGTAGTTCTGCATGTTTGGGGTTCCTCTCATCTACAGTTACTGCGAGTGACATCTGTCTCCAAATTTCACGTCCGGTTTAATTCAAATCGTGCTTGAGTCATTTGAATCTTTGTAAAAAGTGTTTCAGTGACAACTACCGAACTGTACGTGATTTTTTCATTGTTATATCGAACACATATAAGAAGAGTAAGCAAAGAGGCCTCCGGTTGGCAGCTGATCTGTAAACCCACAAATAAACACCTGTAAATACCGAGCTACCTGTTTTTCGTAATATCTCATACGAAACCGAAAGTGTTACCGTAAATACATAACAGTGTCCCGAGAGTATGAGGCAATGCACTCTGGCCCGTAAACGATATTCATTCGTATCCACATATGTATATTCATTAGTTTCATGTGTGTACCAGGCTACAACAAGAGCTGTATTGTTGTATGTTTGCAAACAGCCTCTTCGGACAAGTAATTTGAGGCATCTCTAGGTTTTTGACCACCGATGTATCACAAGCGTTGCTGATGACCGGCAGCGTCAACAGATTTACAATGAGGTAATAAGACAACTGATACCTGGCTGTGCAGCATGCCAGTCAGCCTCGAAAACCAATCGAGCGCAATCGTTTGAGGTTGTTTGTTCATGTGTCAAAACATCGTCTGCCGTGTTGGGTGTTGTCCATGCCTCTTTTCGAATGACGCAAACTACGAGAATGACAACTTTTGACATGGTAAAAGGGTGCGAAAGAGTCTGTGTTACCGATGCGGCGAGTCTTCAAGCAAGGACCCGCCGTGACCCCTATGTGCTGACTATGGAATCCTAACATAAATGACGAATAATCTATGGGAGTGGTGTATGCAATCCCAGTTTCGTTTTAGACTGTCTGATTGTGCGCTCGGGTGTGTAGGCACCTCAGAACGCCTGCAAAAACCCAACATCAGGTCTCTCGCCCACCGCTTTTTTTCTGTCTCTTCAGATTGTTATCTCCAATGCAATTGAATAAACCCAGTGACTTTAGGGTAGTTGAGCATCAGTGCCCACAGTGATGTTTTTGGTGACAGTAAAAAATCACAGGAACTAATATCATCTCTGAAGCTTGAAAACCTTCGGTGGTCTGAAGATGAAATTTCAGGTGCGTCCAATATGTTCTGGTGAAGTAATCGTAACGCTCACACCTTGAATTTCAAATGTCCGGCGGCCAAGCGAGCAAACGGATTGAGATCAACGTTTCGGAAAAAAATTAAATTGTTGCGTTTTAAGTGAAATGTGGTTGCTGTGGATTTTTCTAGCCACAAAATGCAAGCCAATTCCGGAAAATGAAAGTTATACAGTGATATGAGGCAAAAGGTTCCACAGACTAGTTGAACTAGGTCTCTAGCAGACACAGTTTACATGGGCTACTTTTGTGCTCGAAAATTATGACCGGATGCAGTGATATATCAGTCTCATAATCAGTACCATAGAAGTCGCCTACGAATACACTGCTATCAGCTGTACAAAGAAATCAGAAAAACTATTACAAACTGCTTCTCATCACCCACCACTGACGTCTGCACTATTTCAGTATTAGTGCTTGGATTTATAGCATGTTGAAAAACATGGCTTGTCTTTCGTACTAACGAGGGAATTACTACTGTACTTCGTTTGCATTCTTGATACTCATTAAAATCCGTGAAAATAAGTGATACTCACCTTGAAATCTGCTTCCAGTACAAACGCTACTGGTGCATTCACATCTGTAAGCACAAGGCTGTGAATCTGATAGATTAGCTTGGCCAGTACATCTCGTTGGTTAGTCTCGCTGGCATCCAGACACATTATGAAGCGCGTCTGCTGTTCACCGAGAAAACTGTCGAATGTCAGCGAAAGTCTGCATAGTTTTCCAAACTCCTCCTTGATCCTTATGTCCGCACGCCTAGCCCGTTCTTCTTCAGCACTGATGGCAAGGTTTTTCAATGATGTCGAAGTTCCCAATTGCACTGCTTCATTGACCGTTCCTCTTCGGTTCTTTTGAAAGTCTGGTTTAATTTTGTTCAATAGTTGATCAACATCTTCTCCAGCACTAGCCAGTCCGACGGTTGTTCCAGCAGCACTGCTGCTAGTCTCGTCGCTGAGAAAGTCAGCCAAAGCCGTTCGAAGGGGTTTGATTGGACTGACAGCCAAACCGCGAATGAGGCGATAGATAGAAGGAAGTGATCCCAAAATGGTAAGAAACATTATTGAACTCATCGCCACGAAGGTGATCATAATAGCTGCACGAGAGAGAAGCATTTTCAACTGCCCTGAGTTATCCCGCAGAACGGCTGTTCCCACAATAAACGCGATCCAGAATACAATGACCACCAGAAATGCCGGTAGACAGCACACACGTTTGTAGCGATATCTAGGCTCTCCTGTAGGTAGAGAGTTTGGGAGCAAAGTAAAAAACTAACTGTCATTCCGGAAAACCTGATAAAGTAGGAGGTTGACACAGAAACAATATATAATCACGCAGGTAACTCCAAAGTCTCAACCTAGTATTTGACGTAGAAATTGCATAAAGGAGGGGATGCTAACAGCGTAGTTCTGCGGAACCCCTTTAATCTAACCGGTACACTATCGCGTTGTAAAGTACTGGTTTTGCGAGTCACGAAAGTACACTGCAAAATCATCGAATAGTATAGGAAGATATTCTGCTGATCACGTGGTAACAAAAATTTATTTTGAGTTAACTTGAGAAAGCCAAACGAGTGGAAACGGTGCAAGTCAAGGGGACCATCCGGTGGTTTCAACCAGACACCTGTGGAGGGATTTTTATGGATGTTGTTCGTTGATGACCAAAACATTCACCTATTAAAATATACAGGATTTGGTAACGAAGCCAAAGGTGCACTTTTTCTGATTAAAGCGTTATCCTGGCTACGGTTAATTTAATTTCCTGGGTATCTGTAGTAACCGTGGTAACCGTTTTCAAAGGCGTTTCCACATTTTACAGTAATCGCTTCTTGATAAATGCAACCAGCAGAGCTCCGAATTTTTTCAGAAAATCCTTCACATTTTTGTGACAATGAGCTCCTTGCGTCCGTCACTTGGAACAGTAAATTAATTCCTTCCACATCTTCGTCGGTGTGACCCAAAAAATAATACCTACGATCACTGAAAATGTTCCTTAAATCTTTGATTTGTTCGCACAAAATTCATTATTCGCGGCAGCCGCATCACACGTTGCAAAAATAGACAAACTTAAATAGACGCTTTTTTGCTAGACCTGACCAGATGGTATTTATATCTCTCTTTTAGCGTTGGTTCTCCAGCCAAATTTACTGTCCCAGAGGAGTGCTCCATTGCCCGACTGCTGAAATCTTTCCAGCCAGAGGAGCAACTAATTATATATAAATATATATGTTTCTGCTATGATATGTCCCACATCTCAGTTAGCGCATAAAATTTGACGGTAATAACGCAAGAAACTATTGTCTCATAACGATTAGGGAACAGCATTCAGCACTGAAATATTTTTTCCTATTTGCGTCCACTCCATAAAAAACGATTACTCACTTACTACTCAAGTCATTTGCTCCTGTTTTAATGTCGCCGTGAACGAGTTGCTAACATTCTTCCTTAGATAGCTAACCTGATTCCACAGTTGATTCTATTTTTCACTTGCATCCGTGGCTTTGAATCTCTCACGCGTTCAACAACGCCCAAGGGTGCCTAAGACCGAGTCAACCAGGTCCATTGAGCGAATTAATCAACAAAGTTTCTGTGCATCATTGAATTAGGGTGTTGCGATATTGGCGCAATTAGTAACAATTTCCCCAACATAATTTATAACACTCTTCGCTCAGGTTATGTACTGCTGGTGTGGGATTGGACGCAAGTTCATGGAGCAAAAACTGAGAAAGAAAAACAGGAGATATTTTTCCCCAGAAACGGCAGGAACGCACGCGGCCTTAGTGTTGATGCGGATGCATCGTTTGCAGCCCTGAGCCACAAGCTCGCTGGTGTTTGAACAAGTGAACAGCAGCCTTCATATGCATCTAGGCCTAGAGGATGCTCTATATTCACACTCTGTGTCCCTGTTAGGCAGCCTTGTGTACAATACCATGCTTATTCTAAACGTTCTCCCAAACGGCTAAGCTCTTGTTGTCCAGTTTAGTCTCATGGATAAACTTTGTCAGTCAAATAACCTCCGACACAACAAGCCCAAAAGTCTGTGCAGTGGCTGTTCTATCTTACTTCCGAAAATGGATTACGGCGGTAACCGGAAGCAGTCTTTCTCCGGGCCACTGGCGAACCTGCGATTCCATCAAAAATGCAGCATTTAAACCAAGCCTGTAGTGAAAAGTCGTGACAGCATTTGAGTGAATCTGTACGGCCCTAAAGATTTCATTCCAGATGTAAGTACCACCCAAACTCTGGTCAGCTAGCAGACACCATTAACGACAATTCTGGATCCCCGGAGAGACAATGTGAAGAGGAAGGAGTAGTGGTGACGAGTACTGTATGCAGCAAGTTAGGCAGAATATTTGAAGGCACTAAGCGACGGGCGATGTTTGATTGACTAATTACAATGCAGTAGTATATAATACTAGAATACTGGTTGGACGCCCATCCAGTCGGGTAGGAGAGGCTGTGGAAAAGCCTTAATGCCCATCCTTATCACAGCTCCCATGCCAATAAACGAACCAATAAGGCTCAGACAATTTTGGTCACGATAATTCCGTAAACAAGCCCATAGAATAACAGGGAAATTCGTGTGTATGCTGTGCATTTTATTCGCCAGTAGTGATATTTTCTGCTTAAATTTACCGTTATGACATGATCGCTTTTAACTTTTCTAAAATGGATTTCAGTAGAGAGCCACTATATGGACAAATTTATGGCCTTATACGACGTGAATTTTTGAGGCTTTCAGCTCCATCAGTATTTAGGCGGATGCACAGAAACCTGAATTTATCAACGATCAATACATTTCAGCTAGCGCGAAACGCATCTCAAAACCACCTCCTTTTGGGATGTTGAAAGTGCTTTTCATAAAATCGGCAGCTCAGATTTGTAATTTAACGCTCTACAGGATGGAAAGCGATGTTAATTAAGCACCCGGGAAGTCTGAAGAAAGCTTTATCCAGCAGGCAAGCCTGTCATCTCAACAAATACGCTCCACTGCAAAAGTTCCGGCTGTGAGCTTTATCAAATTCTTTTTAAATATTATGCAAAATTATAAGGTGGGATGGACTTTATCCTCAACGATTTTTGGGTCAATTTTTAGGCAACAGGCTTGAGCTGGTTTAGCGTCGTTGAATGGCCAAGTGCTCATAATACGTGTGATACCGTAGTGTCTATAAACCCGACAGTTACAGAAACGTAAGGCTTACTCATGATGTTCCCACACGATTATTCATGGTTTACGGTCCAAGACAGAGCTTTGCCTTTTCTGGGAGCCTAGTGAAATTTCTAAAGTATAAATTCCAGCAGTAAATTTTTTATCTTTGGCAGTGTTAACCCCTGTTAGCCCCGAAAGAAGAGATCCGAGACATCCAAAATTCTGTTTTGTGATTTAGATCGCAATATTTAGCTAACTTGCAACAGCACATCCGGATTAGATTTCAGCACAGATACCAAATTTCAAGTTTGAAACCATAAAGCAGCTTTTACTACATCACATTTTTACGCATCAACTATGGCTTCCTATCTCAGCACTTTACAGGTCTAACTTGATTTCAAAATATTCTTGGTTAGTAATTCCCTGGTCGTCGTATTCAGAATTCTGCCGTTTTCTTCTCCAAAAAACTGATGTGCTGAAGATAAACGCTGCTGCGAGTTCTTTGCTACATTTCCTTTTGTCTGAAAGTAATTTCCCCATAGAAGAATGTTTGGTTGTAGTACTGAAGTGTTTAGGGATTGCAGAACATCTGGTTGCTCAAATCATTCGTTCCCACCACGACAACTCAGTGAGGCGCTGGGGACAGAAAGCTGGGTTAATCAGCTGACGTATTTTCGTACGAGCGATCAAACCGCCGTCAAGCTTTTCACATATTCTGTGTACCGTCCCAATATAGAAACAAGAAGTAGCTTTCCGAGACATTTTTGCATTCAAAGATATTACTACGGATAGATCGTTCAGAGTGTACCGATGGTCATCTATTTGAAACAGAGTAACAATACCGGTAAATGAGACGTCCTAATTGTAGGTATAGTGACCAAATAACTAGATACAAAAAGCGTGCATGGATTATTACATGATCTGACTGCTACCTGGGTAAATGAAACAAAAACACTTCTGTATTTGTACAGTTTGATGTCCGACCGCCGATCTTCTTTTGACGTTTGTGTCTTTAATTTTAATATAAATTTAGCATAATGAAATCGAAGGCTTTTGCCTTACACTTTCATGAGTTCGTATAATGGTTAGCGCTCTGGACAGAAATAATTCCAAAATTCCTATATGGTTATCTATATGTCATGCGTTTTATTTCATGTTATTATGAAGTACCAGTCGGTTTTAATAGCACAAACTGTGGTGCCCTACATAGTTTAAGTTATAAGTTACCCAGAGTGAGGCTCGTGCACCTCGTGTAAGAGTTCTCTTTTTTTTTGAATTCACCTGGTAGTAACTTGACCATCCAACCATATGAAAGTATGTGGAAGAAACTGAACCGTTCTACTAACGTTTGCACCTAACTTCGTTGGACAGTACTCACGTGGTAGAGGCGATGCTCGCAGCAGTCTGATAGGGATTTCTCCGTGTAATCGTATTAGGCCGGTCCACATTTTATCCAGTATAGAAAAAAGCGCGACGGTTGGAGTGGACGAGGGAAACAACCGATGGTAGACAACTATTGTTCTGACAAAACAGAAAAGGGTGGAATTAAATAACTGCTATTAAAAATAGGCTTGGAAGTTGAACGGTTACAAAACAAAACTCTCCTGTCTACGGCGGCTTGCAATATTTTGTGCGATTTTCGGACGAGGCTTTCTCAACCAGGATATGATGGGGCTTGCTGAGGGCATCAGGTACTTCTAGGGTAAAATACGTCTCAAAAAATTTGAAAAGATATTATTTTGTAGAAATTGGCAGGAAATGAAATTAGTCCTTGTCAAACCGCAACTGCGCAGATACTTTTTGTGCAGATACCATCAGACAGAATGAGTATCACCCATTTGGTTTAACTCACGAGTTCATCATCTCCCGTTTCTACCATAATGGTTGAGGTGAGTCATATTTAGGCTACTTTTGAACATTTATTCCTGACGGAACTTCAAGACTACTGCACAAATGTCAAGACGCATGAAAACATACGATCCGATCACATCAAATTTATCATTTTCAATCAACATTTATGTTTAAAAGCTGATTAGAAGACTGCAATAAAGGTGGAGAAAACAGGGCCAACTTTGACAGTGCGTCCAAAATTTACGGTGCATTTGATGGTGATGCTTTATAAGCCAAAGAGCTGACTGGCCGTATTTTTTGGTTCTTTACAATGAATGTACAACATTGAGTTGTGTTATTCGAGCTCTTTATGTAAATGAATGATCGGCTGATACTGGATATGCAACCCGGCGCAATGGGGCATTTCTCAAACGACACAGAGACTGCAGAAGGCAAGCTACTATTTTCTAACCGTTTTGGCTTTCTTACATCAGGACCGAGAGTGCGACATCTTTGCCGATCGACACACGGCAAATGTACGGCATGTTGGTTGCTAACCCAATCTTGACTGCGGTAGGTCTCCGCTTGATTCTCACGTATTGAATACCCATGTTTTTGCAATCTTTTATCGTCGTCCTGTTGAGGTGTTACTCTTCAACATGTCTCTAAATCAGCCATATTTTCCCTTCCACAATCAAAAGTCACCTGTCGCAGCTGGTCAACCAGAATTTACAGAACCCGAGGTGAGGGCAAATTAGTTTTGAACGCCCGTGTCAGTAAAATGATACACTGGCTGCATTCCCTCTAGCTCATCAAGCTCTGCGTCCATGTATGTTTGGGAAATTTCCCAAACTGCCGAATTTCTTCATGAATATGTGGATACAAGTGCATCGGATGACACTTACTGACCTGCGAAAATACGGAACAAATTTACCATTACGTTCCTGATAACCTAGCACTGAATGTGGCTGTACACGCGCACACATTCTCCGTGGTGATGTTAGACAACTGCGCAGCTAACTCGCCAACATTTGCCACTAGATAATAATATGAATCGGAGTGAAACTACACTGCTTCACCTAACGTGGTCATCTGAACAAACCGATAAGCAAACTTATTTTGGGACGCTAGTAGAATCTAACTAATCACTGGATAGAAGATCGACTCAACTCTGTGTTGTCGGTGGACACTACTGGATTGGACCACGTGTCGTAAGCATAGATTATATTCGATAACCGACGGATTTTACTATGGGAAAGGTGAGCCATTTCTTTCCTCACGGCCATAGTCAGCTTTATGTCGATGAAATTCACGGATGATCTTAGCTCCCTTTTGTACTGGTTCATCCTTTGTCCCCTGATAGTCATCACTTGTGTGCACTGGTATTCAATGTTGATGTTTCGAAAGGTGCGATAAGTGTGTAAATTTCAGTTGGCAGTTTTAGTCACGATGAATTTGCACATTCGAGCATGTGGGATGATTGGTCGATTCGTCAGCTTCTATTTCATAATACAGCAAGTTAGCATCTAGTTCCCTATTCAACTCTATACATTGAGTTCACACAGCCTTCTAATGTGGTTTGTTGGTGAAACTATTGTAACTGTTTCTGGAGCACTACCAAGTATTTGCAACTGGTACCAGCGCGGCACATGCAGTATAACCTACTTAAACTCAGATCAATAGGATTCAAATTCGGGAATTTTCTAGTCTGAACCCCTCCATTAGTTTTCCAAAAAGTATCTTCAAGAAAAGATCGCGAACCTGCCAATTAACTGTTCACCAGCCGCACCCGTTCATGGTAGTGTGCCTATAGAGCATGGTTACTTTTCAGCAGACTGAATAATCAAGTACAAGATTATTAAGAGCTACGGTAATGTTCAGGAAAAAAACGCAACCACGATGCTTTGTACAATCATAAACTGCTATGAGAGAGATTAGATGCTTGTCATGAAGTTTTTGGCAGGCCGAATGAACTTAATGCGTACAGCTTTTATGCAAATGCTCATCTGCAAAGAGGATACCTAGGTTCCGACCGTGAAGCAACATATCCCACAAATGTATACCGTTTTAAATCCACAAAATCTACTCTTACACAACTTCGATTGGATTTCCAGAAGCCCTGAACTTATCATCTGAAATACCATCCGCTGTGAGCCATTTGATTTTCCCATTTATCTTATTGTTTGCCAACGTGTAGAATAATGACGTGTTGTCTGAAATCTCACTAGCAAAAACAACGCTTTGCTAATATTGACAAACAGATGTGTACATGGGGATCAATTTCCTGTTGCTGACAATCGCACCTGCACTCAGACGCAAAACGAAGTCGATTGGTAAAAATAATCTGTTACGCAATCCATCACATTTTTCAATTTCGTGTTATGGCAGTGCAGCGTTTTGTGTCTCCCTGCGTCGTCCCAAGATACGAGCAAAGAGAAACAGTCTGACATAATTAAGTTGACTTTACCAGATGTCCTGAATAAGATAAATAATGACATCATATTGTAGTCTGGCAACAGAAAGGCAATTCTATCATTGTTCATCCTAAGTAGTCAGCGAGCAAATGGACAGATGTGTGTAACAGTGTCAGTAAACAGGTACAGGCTATAGAGTTTCAGTTAGCAGGTGCTTCTTTTTTAATCCTTTGGATACCACCTGGTAAGTAACGCACTCACCAGCTGATGTAGAGTTACATCGTTTGTGTTACCTCAAATAATAACAGTTGGATACTACATTTAACACCAAACTTAGAACACTAGAATTTTTCCAAATCCCCCCTATTTGCTTGAGCCGTAATGTGATTACATTTCAAATGGGCTATTCGCTCACTAACCGAGGTTGATGAAGGAAAGGATCATCTTGGCTCTTTCGCGCATACTTTTCGGACTGTGAATATATCATGAGCCTGTGGATGCATTACGGTATGAATAGTTAATAAATAGTTAAGACATAATATCAAGTGGCGTGGTAATACTCCTGGGAGATATGTCTCCCAATCCTACCTTGGAATCGCTGGTCAATTTCAGATGGCCACCTATTTGGATTTTCGTGACTTAAGACTACACGTAACCTAATGTATTTCTAACACTATATTTTTGGTGATAAATGAACTTATGTGGATATTCTGGACCACAACAACTCCGTTTATCGCAGCTCCTTTTCTTTTGTCCATTCGTTCCCAATCTTAATGCGGATGTTTCTAGATTTGCTGAACAACAAGATACTGGATGTTCCCTTCCCACACACGTGGTTGCAAAGATTGGTTTTCGCACAAAAGACTAAAGTTGTTCAGTAAGGCAATGCGCAAGTAGATTGCTGGAGGCTGCTGTAGAAGGATCCAAATGAAAATGGTTCCCGGTAAGGCCTTGGAACTAAGATAAACTGAGTTATCAAATATTCATGAGTCGTCCTCAGTCTTGTAAGTGCCGGGACGTCCTAGTGTAGCCTAAATTCTATTTGAGGATTTGTTTTTTTCACATCCTATTTTCACTTGGATTATGTGCTGAATCTTCATTCTAATAGGAACTATACAGCTGCACCAGATGAATTCAATGACCTGCTTCCTCATGTCGCCAATAAGTTTACGAAATTTACTGTTTGTCATTAATGATGTGGACGACAGAGAAAGTGATTGTTGCCAAAACACATGGTCATTTAAAACTTTCAGGACAATCTTACCTGCGACAGTGATCCGTGTCAGCCTAACTATAAATGCTTGGAACGACTGAATCGAATACATCAATACTGATTATTAATTATTAGTTAGCCCAATGTACTACTGACAACCACACCAGTAGCGTATGCAGTTCGCGGTGTTTTTCAGTAATTCAGTAGCTGATTTCCACTTTCGTCCCATCCCCAAGTAATACGCCATAAACTTGTCAAGCTAATGGTTGAAATTCTATCTGTTTTATCTCACGGCACTACTTATGGGGCTACAATATAACGGATGAAGTGGCAAACATGGTTATCAGACTATCTGAATACGCAGATCGTAAATCTCTCAATTTTCATCGTCCCACAAGATCTATAGTCACTGTTTGACAGACACTGCGCACGTCAACTTGGCTTAGAATTCTAGCACTTAGTATCGCTTGCCAAACCTCAACCACTGCAGTAAGAAATATCTGTTGAATTTTTCCTTTCAACGGACTAGTCAGAATAATCACCACAGTCTTCAAACGATGCTCATCAGCTTTGTGGCACTTGAAATTGTTATTTATTAAATCGGTACATCATGCTTATTTATATTTTTTTAGTATCTTGTCTCCCCTACAAGCATCAAATGAAAATCAAGTCTTGGGAAAATATCGTATATATAAGTAAGGTCTGCAGCATTGAGGTCTTCGGATATATCGATATGCGATATAAATATCAAACAATTAAACAGATAATTTTGTCCCCGACTAGGCAATCACAATTGTTGGTGATGCGAAAATTGTGCACAATCCTTTGACGGCGAATAATACATAAAACACAAGCTCATTCCTCGTCAAAATAGAAGTTTGTTGGATAACGTCGTATACATTAGTTTTTCACTCACCTGACAGAAGACTTTTTATCCAACCGCTGAGTGGGATAACAAAAACAAACATTGAGCACAAGTCGAAGCCAAAGGAGGAATTCGGCCACTTTGCGACTTAGTCGTATGGCAAAAGTCTTCTGAAAAATACGCGACCCAGTGATGATAACAACTGAGAAAGGAAGGTAAGAAAATCTGCCGGTC